AACACAACACTCAGCAGATGTGCAGCAATGATGTCAAATAATGCAAATAAACCACCTGGAGACACGAACGTGGACACGAAGAAGGAGCCTCGGTAAATCAGTCTGTCTTCATCCCTAAATTATTCTGTATCTGAGAAGTTTGATCCCTGCAGCTCTCTGATGTGAGAGGTCTGAGCTCTTTCTGCTCGGCCGTCCACTGTGAGGCTGTAATGACTCTGTTGTTGCCTGTGTGGAATTAGATGTTTGTTTTGCCTGTGGTGGAACTGAATATTACTTTTCACGTGTGTGGTTTCCAGATAAGTTTGAACGATTTACTGAACTGCTGTTTTTTTTTACATTTTTACATTTCTGTTTCTATAAATGTTAAATAAGGGAGATCAACACCCGATAAGGTGAAATTAAAGATAATTGGTTGTTGACCACTGTGGCAGTTTCTCCAAGGAATTAGAAGAAGACATATTCAACTCAGTCCGCAGACTCTCAAAACCTGATTAATCAAAGTTATGAATATCGAACGTGTCAAGAAACACGGCGAGTGTGAAGCTGATATTCGAGCCACAGACACACACAGACGTGTCAGTGTGACGTGATAAAAGAAAACTGCTTTTGATCGATGGCGTCAAATAAATGGCCTCAAACCGCACGATGAGCGTTTCCTCCTCACCTGAGAGTCGCTCGCCGGCGTCTCCCTCCGGATTCTCGTCTCGCGGGCACTTTGTATATTCTATTGAAATGCGACACAGGGAACTTCGACGCTACGCTTGTTGAAACCAAATGAAACGGTAAATGGGATGTGTGGCTCACTTGTAAAGTGGAAAATAAAATTCCAGCAGGGGCGACGTGCCGGAGCATTGTGCACCGTCCCCAGACAACTGTGGCGCTCGGAGCCTCGGAGGCTAGGGGTCAAAGGTCGCCCCTCTATTGAGCCATCAGATGGAGGTGGGGCGAGATGGGCGTGTCCCCGGCCCATTGAGCCTTTGACAGCCAAAACCAATGCTGTTGTACGCTGCCACATACAACCCAAGGGATTTTATTGTGTTCATGCTAAACTGCGGCGGCACAAGCGAGACAAAAGTTGACAAAGTAATTATTGTGTTTCGTTCCGTCCAGGTCGTTAACTGATTTATCAATCCCTGTTTTGACAGGTTTCCAAGGCCGGGCCCTCAAACTGGCTCCACACTTTTTACTTTTTAAGACTTTAAACACTTTTGAATTCTTGTTTTTCCAGTTCAGAGTTTAACACGGGCCGAGATTGTGAGTCTCCGTCGGGCCGCGTTGGAATTTCTACACTTTGCGAGATTATTTTTGGACTCTTTTTAATTTAAGGCCTGTTTTGGTCATTCCCTTTCCTCCCCTGCCGCTCTACCCAAACACCACACATATCAAAAGACTGGTTTTAGATCTGGTTTTCTCACCAATGCTTTTTTTTTTCTCCTCCATGTTGATGCAGTGGTGTGTCGAGCCAAAGTCAAAGTCAACAGAACCGCAAACTTTCCCAGCTTTAATAGCGAGTCCTCTGGGCCGCCTCTATCTGTTTCCTCCTTCTCTGTGGGTCAAATTAGACGGTAGCACAGATCCGGGCCACTGGTCCGCTCTGACACGGCCATAAATTCTGGTAACTGGCCCCCGCTGGTTCTGACAGGGCTATTCTGCGAGGTGAAGACGGAGGGTTCGGACTATAAAGGGAGCGGCGCTTCCTGTGTTTTCTCAGACAACTGCTCCACTGCAGAAACTGTCTGTGTCTTTAACAAGTCGTTTAAGTTGGCAGTCGAGACTTTAACTCGTGTTTGGATTAAAATATCTGAATCTGTCAATAGAGTGAGGCAACTTCTGTGTTTTCCGTGGCAGACTCGGTGAGGAAAGTACGAGCATCTCAAAATAAGGCGGATCAGTAAATGAGTCCCAAGATATTTCATGAACCAAACTCTGGATCCAAACCCTTTGTCCTCTGTCCTTCATGCACAGACGATACACGCTGGTGAAACGTCTCCCTCAGATGCACACTTCTTGCAGTGTGAAACTCTCTGTCCATTCCCAGGGCTGGTGCCCTTCTGCAGGTCCACGGCCAAAGCCATAAAACCTTTAAAGCCTCGTATGACTCTACTGTAAGCTCCTTAATAATTTAATTCTGTTTGGAATCTGGCACGATTGGAATGGATGGGATTATCACGTTTCGGGGCTAATGCCGCAGGTTCAACAGGGGTTAGCCAGTGCAACACGGCAATAAAAGCAAATGGCATGTTCGGAGAAAATAATTAAATGTGCCGATGGAAAGACGGAGGGGAAATTAAAGTAGAAATGTCACTCAGAGCTTAGAATTACTAGTTATTGGATAATGGGGAATGAATATTAAAATACAGAGCAACAGTAAAATGAATTCAGTTACAGTCTCACTGTAAAGAAAATATAAACAAACACAAAGCATCATCACATCATCGATCAAATTCTTTTTTTATTCTTTTTTTCAGTTTCAATGTGCTGTTAAAATAAAACACGAGGTTTGTCTTTGTTCTATCAAGATGAAACTATAATTGTGATTTTATTTAAAGTGACATGATGATAGATTTTTCACCTGACAGCAGCTATAATGGTCTCAGATTTTATTTAAAAGTAATTTGCAAAAAAATACAGCACTAATGGAAACGCCGCGCGTTAACAACAATTTAAACTACTCAATCTATCTCTCTGTAATAAACCAGATTAAAATTGATGAACTTGAAAAAAGAGCAGAATAATAAATAAAGAGTTTAGTATAGTTTGGGTACTTTCCCTGGTTATTATAAAACAGGGGCTCTTCGAGACATAAATACCAGCTCACAGAATCTCTGTGTTTCTGTTGGTGGTCTTGGCCTCAACAAACCGACTCCTGCTCGTATTTTACCACATTTTAGCTGCGCCCCTTGTGCGTTGCTGTTTTTCTCTCTCCTCCCCCTCCTCCTCCCTCCGCTCAGCTCGAGCTCCGCGACCACAGCACAAGGCGTCACTCATCTGCTCATGAGAGCAGCCATTGACTTCGGTTTGACTCCTCGGCTCTGAGAGGGGTAGACGGGGTGGAGCCAGCCGCTCTGAAAAACCATTTGCCAGCGCAGAGCGGGCAGCCCGGTCCATGTTACCATGCAACTGCAGAAAGCACACACACACACACACACAGGCATAATATTTACACTGTTGAATTATTTTCCGCATGCGCCTCCAAGAGAGAGAGAGACAGAGAGGGAGAGGGAGTGGAGGAGTGTATACGGCGAGAAGGAGGAGAAGGAGGAGAGTGTGATCCTCCACCTACAAATGTGTACATTGTGTGAATGGCCAGTTACCTCAACACGTGGGGTCAAAGGTTTGTGAAAACACTGAGCCCTCTCCGGGTCCAGCACTTTTTCCTACGCAGGTGATGTGAAGTGTTCCACCCTGAGAAGCCTCCTTGTTGACATCACTCACTCCCGTCTTTAGTAATCCTGACCTCCTCCAGAGGAGTTCACGCCGTGCCTGTCTGGCAGCCGCGAGCAGAGCGGCGAGCCGAGCGGCAGCGTCTGCATGGCATGTTTCCACTTAGGCTGCCGGGGTCGTCCCTCTCTCGGCCCGTCGATGCGTAGCAGGTACTCTGTTCTCGCCTCGCTTGGCCGAGCCGCTCGCCGGCTCCGCCCCTGAGCTTCTGAATGTGTCACGTTAGTATCTGTCTGCTGCCTCCATTCAGCCACACCTGGTTCGAATCACTACCTCCGACTCTCCAGGGATGGATTTGTCTCGACTGGCACAGTGGAACCGAGAGTTGCAAAATGAGATCCTGCCTCAGTGCGAGAGAGAAAACTTTGACTTAACTCTCGCTTATAAGAATATAGTCTTACGGTTATTTATATCATCGGAGGCTTTGCTGTTGTTAACGCTGTCATCGTTTCCTCGTTTTCATTGCTGTTTGTTTGCTCGTCAGCCGGATGCTCAAAATCTACTGAACCAATTTCCATGAGATTTAGTTGAGGGCTGGGGGACGACCCGGAGAAGAACCTGTGTGTTCTCTCATACTTTCTTTTTTCGACGTGCACTTCCTCCTCATCAAGCAGTTTTCCCATCTTTAAGATTTTCCTCTATATGTCCTGTTACGTTCCTTCATGCAAATAAATCAGAGTTTCTAAACGAAGCAAGGCAGATGAAAAAGAAAAGAAATGAGTCCTGGTGACTCTTGACACTTGACACTCGTCAGAATCTTTCCATCCTGGCCACGTCTCTTCCGTGACCTTTTCCAAGCAGACATGACACTTCTCCTCTGGCAGAAGCATTCACATTCACCTCGGCTGTCCTGTTTGCCATAATGTGTGAATCACCGGCCCTCGCGAATCAGTGAAGCTGATCTTTATGTGGCAGATTTAACTTGATGTTGAAGTGATCGTCTTCCTCGATGATTGAAAAATATGATCCAAACTCTGCACCACGCTCCGACCCAGGCGTCTCTCTTCTCCTGAGATTTATTTTGGTGCTGTGGGCAAATGCAGAACTGTTTCCCATCAAGTAGAAAGATTGCTTCCTCCTCTCCTTGTCTGTTCTGTGTCAAACGCTTTGCAATTAATAAAAGGATGTAAAGGCTGTATTTCAATTTAAACACGCTGCACACGGCACGCTCTTGTTTGCTGTCCTGGCCGCTCTGTGATGTTTTATATCGAAGGAAGGAACAGATCTGAGGCTGGAGAGGACGGACGTCTCTGGACAGGACGATCGCTCACCTCGTTTCGACAAATAGAACTAATATTTTTATAAAGTGAAGGTTGTGATTATATCCACATCTAGAATGCAATTTGATGTTTCCACATCTGCAATTTCTTCTTCTTCTTCTTCAGTTTCCCTCTGAGACGTTCATTCGATCTCGACTGCATAAACAAGCGTGTCCTAGCAAGTGGAGGAAATATGAAATAAAAACTGTCAAACAGGCAAATAAAAGTCAGAGAGTCCCCCTGAGATGTGCTCAGATGTGACCGTCCTCTCTCTGTCTCCCCTCAGCTGAGACACCAGCAGTGGAGTCTGGTGATGGAGAGCGCCGTGCCATCGGACCGGGGGAACTACACCTGCGTCGTTCATAACCAGTACGGCACCATCACCCACACCTACCAGCTGGATGTTCTAGGTAAACAACACGGAAACATGTACTTTCCCTTCTGCTTCTGTGTAAACAGCGAATAAATTACCATTCACAAGTGGTTTGAAAAACCCACGAGTGTTGTTAACGGAAAAAAAAAGAAGATATTTAAAACTAAACTACATTTCCTGCAGCGCATCAGACCCACGACTTGTGCTAACGACTCCTCCTCCCTCTCTCTCTCTCTCTCTCTCTCTCTCTCTCTCTCTCTCCAGAGCGCTCCCCTCACAGGCCCATCCTTCAGGCCGGCCTCCCGGCCAATCAGACGGTGGTGTTGGGCAGCGACGTGGAGTTCCACTGCAAAGTTTACAGCGACGCCCAGCCGCACATCCAGTGGCTGAAACACATTGAGGTCAACGGCAGTCGCTACGGCCCTGACGGCGTCCCCTACGTCAACATCTTGAAGGTGGGTCAACCTGAGGCTCTCTCAGCCGTAATGAGGTCCAGGTCTCATCGGCGTCTGCCTCGAGTCGACCTCAGCCTGTGATAATTGCACTCTTAATTAATCTTTCCTAAATGTCTTATTTAATGAGTTTTTACAGTCGGCCGGGCTGCGGGGCCCTCGGGGCCCTCGGGCTCTTTTCACCGCAGCGTGTAATTGACAAGCTCGTTCCTCCAACACTGCACCGTCATTACGGAGAGGAAATGCCTCACCTGCAGCACACGCACACATGCTCACTCATTAACCCAATAATATCACTGTAATTCACAGTGGGGGGGTTCTGCTCTTAGCAGAGATGGAGGAAACACCCTGCACCCACTGAGAGGCGTGTTTTTTTTTAATTTAGAGTGAAGAGAGGAAGACTCCCATCGAAATAAGAAAAGAAAAAAAAACGAGAAGGGCTTTAGCTTTCTCACTTGCC